ATCAGTCTATCTATCTATTAGTCTATCTGTCTATCTATCTTTTTATATATATATATATATATATAATATATTTGGCTTTAGTTTTCTTTCAAGATCATCAATAAGTTCTTTTTATTGCCCACAGAACCTCACATTAGACGAGATTGACGAGAGAATCAGAAGCTTGCGCCATTCATTGTCCAAGGGAATTTCAAGCTGACTGAAGTTAATGCCGGATTTTGATACAAAAATATCGCTGTAGAATAACCATTAGCTTGTACCAGATGTTTAGTTGGATCAAGAGTCGATCAAGGGTACGCGATTTAGGCGCGTGTGAGCAGATGAACACAGCGATCAATCGTCGGGCATGCGCGAGGGGATCAATTTTAGTCGCCTGCACGCCATGCATCCTTTTAAAAGGAGCGAGGGAAAAGGAAAACTCGAGACTTTTCGAACACAAAAATTATTCAAGTACTGGTATCCTGTTGATTCACCAAAAGTTGTACGTCTCCAAAACACCGTGACTACCTTGAGTGGTTGTTTGTTACTCGTGTGACACATCTGACAGCATGAAAGCACCACCATCCACCACCAGTACGACGTTTGCACATGCGCAAACGTTTGACCGCTGTGTTGGACAGATGGCTCAGAGAAAATTAAGGACGATAATTAGGCTGTTTCATTTACAACGACTGGAAAGAGCTAAAGATGAAGTTAATTGCCCGTTTCAAATCTTGTTTATAACCGAATTGCTAAGTGAGCGGTTGAAGTCTATCCACCTTCACATAAGAGGACGGTGTGAAAAATCTTACTATCCGAGAATTTTCTCCTCACAATAAACATGTGATGTAAAGAGAAGCAATCGGCCAAAAATATGGGAAATTGTTACTATTATTAGAGTGGTTGATTTTTTAAAACCGACCTCTTAAGAGGCTTTTCTTTCATTTTAACGCTTTTAACAGCAGAATTTAAATTAGCCAACCGAAACATTAAAGAAGAACACCGGTCATTTGATAATGTCCGAAAAGTTTTTCTCGCTTAGAAAGCACATGACTATATTCAAAGACTGAATGGCAGAAAAAGAAACAGCAAATTGCCATTATTTCGGTTCGAACCGTTTACCGATTGACCTTCTCGGCGAGAGAGGTCGAAAGGAGGCTTGGAAAAAGACAAATTTAAACATGAGGTCGCAAAAGAACTTTCCTCTTTTCGCGTGGTAAAAAACACTTGAGACTCTATCACCTGCAATAGCTCTGAGAGAAACATTTATGGAGTAGGTAAAAGCCTTTTTTTTTTTTTTTTGGCCCAATCAACTGCTTACTTCGTATCTCATGAAAAGGCTTTCAGCTGGTCAGGCTGGATATAAATCATTAGCGAGTACTCAGTGTAACAATCATATCTATTCAGTCTTGCAACGCTAATGGAATACAAGCACTGTTTACGGATACTTTGAGAGTTTTTAAAATATATACTCGAAAACTGACCCATATTGCATGGCCTCGGAGTAACGAAACCGCCAATTTTTGAAAGATGAAAGCCGGTCGAGCCGGCGGTAATTAGTCCCTTTAATAGCGACCATAAGGGCACTCGATGTTGCATGCATTCAAACCTGATTCCCAGCTAATTGCGTTCCGCTTGACGTGATCCTGTACTAGTTACAACAGAGATACCCGAGTTTCCCAGCTTCGAGTTCTTCGTCGGCAAATTCATTCACCGACGCAATAAATTTTGTTTCTTAGGCAACATCTAGTGCTTGTGACAAAAAACATTCGTGGCTGGTATCGTTCCAGCCACGAAAAATTTTTTCATAAGTATTTGAAAATTTTTTATCGTCTCTGTTGTAACTCGTGAATACCAGCCGCGAGAAGTTTTT